CCCCCTGTTTCAAATCCAATTGAAATACAAGCACAGAGAAGAAGAAAGATTTACGCTCATCTACAGCACTAAAATAAAAAAAAAAAAAAGAACTCTCCTATACTCGAAACTCTTCCCCTTACTCAGCGCCAATCTAAGAAGACAGTCTTTACTAGCAAACAAATTAGTACAGAATGAAGTTGAAAAAGAGGAGGTACAAACGCACAAAAGCTACTATTTTTTTCCTATTAAACCACACATTTCAGTGTGGTTAAACCGGTTTCAGAAGTAACTGTTCCCACCTTTATCGCATCTCTCCACGTGTTGATAAGTTCAGTAAATCCTCCCTTTGCTCGAGATTCTTCAACAGTTCCACGAATATTTCTTCCATCTAAAAAAAAAGACAAATAAGACAAAACATTTTGCGTGAATGTGATAAAAGCTTACATTAAACTTCCAACTTTGTAAAACACAGAAAAAAATATGTAGTGTATATACTTATTTATTTTTAAGTAGTTTTTAAGACACTCTAACCAGGTTGAAGTACTCTAGGATTAACGTAATAACACTAAGATGTTTGCTTTAACTGTTATCTGTTCACCCAGTTTTTCAGCTTAAAACTATTAACTTCGTATCCAAAAAATCCATCATGCATAGACCGGTTTTTGAAGCTAATATAACTGGTGAAACATTTATAAATAAAGAAAACTGTAAATACGAAGAAGTGATTAAACAAAAATTTACTTTTAAAATAAACCTTAGGTTAAAACTAACAAACAACTGAATGTCAAATTTTACACCTATAAAATTTGCTTTTTTCAAGTGTCTTCATGGATTAGCTATGTACTTCAAAAAATTTTTCAAAATCAAAGAACGTTATATAGAAAAAAAGAAACTTTTCAGAAAAAAAAATGTAAGAAATGAAAAAAGTGCACAAATTATATTTGAAACAATTCGGCTTAAAAACTTTCTACACACACCAATAGGTAGTTGAATTACTCCAAAAACATTTTGAAGTCTGTTGAGCTGTTTGAACAACTATTTCTGCTCTCTCATAGAGCAGTACTTTTGTTTGTACAGATGTACAGAAAATAAATTTTTTTTTTTTTGCAGAACAAAAAAAAAAGAAATAAATTA